TCCCAGCTTCTTTTCCCCATTATGCAGTCTCCCTGCCATAGCTTCTCTGTCCTCTTCCCTAGACTTGTCTTGGCAATCAGAAAATCAGTTTAATTTATCATCTTCGAACTTCCATTTTCCAGAATGCATTTTGTAAACTCCTGTGTCCCTTCCCAAGTCTCTCTAGAAGCCAAAAAGCAACATGTTTTCCTTCTTTTCCATTTGTTGTCAGGAAAATTTGTCAAGAATCATCACTTATGTTGCCAGACATCTGATCAAATGCTTCAGCTAGGGAGCCAGAATTCTCCAACTGTGGCATTGGTACATTTGTTGCATCTGAAATAAAACATAAGAAGGTGGTTAAGAGAGACACTGAGCAACTGCAGCAAACTCTCTATCATGAGGAATTCAGTGCAAAAAAATACCTCTCAGTTCACAGTGGATTTTCAGAGGCTTTCAGGAAGACACCCTGCATTCAAATTCTAAGTGATTAGGACAAAATCATAATGATCTCCTCTGTCACCTTTGCTTCTTTGGGGTGAGGAAAGGAAAGCAGGGCAGGCAAATGTATCAGGCTTATATTAGAGCATATAAGGGAGCAGTTGCTCAAATGAGTCAAAGGAGAGACACCACAGACAGACTCATACTGGATTACTTCCTATGGACAGCAAAATGCTTCAAGATAACCTGCATCTGGCTGTAGTCAAGGAAAGAAGTCCTAACAGAATGAGTGTGGAGGGAGCAAGACTGGTGAGTTTGCTCTTCTCTCAAAGAAAGGTAAGCAGTGTGAGCTGAAGACAGGAAAGCAAATTCACACCAGCATCATGGGAGATGAGGATTCTACCTTCAGTGCCAGCCTAGGCACTTGGACACCTGTGTCCAAAAAAAAAAAAAAAGAAACAAAGAGATCTTGATAACCTAGTTACATGTATTTGGGTAAATCAGGGCTAAATTACAGTGTTAACCATCCTGAAATTTAGTGTCCTGTAGATTGGTTTCTATATAAGAATTATAGTTGTGGTAGAAATGTCAGCCTGAAATATTATTTGGAGCTGGACAGATCTAATGTCCTACAATTCAGAACCAATACATGAGCTAAACCCTAACTTCCCCATTGCTCTATTACTGCTTGGGGTGTGACAGCATTGACAGGAAAAAAAAAAAGGGGTGGAGTTGCCATTTCTATGATAAGAATAAATCCTACAAATGGGTGCCTTCCTTCTCATTAAAAACTGCATCTACCCACTTTATGAACTATATAGTGGCACATATATGAACCCAGCCACCAAGCATGCAGACAAAGCCCAAAGTTAAGGAAAACAAAACAAACCATGGCAGTGACATACCTTGTGTTGATTCCCTTATTTCCTGAGCTTCTCTCCTCCCAAACCCACTTGGCTGCTGTCTCTGGAGTTTCTGTCTCTACAAAGAGATCTGGATGCCCAGCACAGTCTCAAACATGTCCTGGTTCTGTATTCAGATCCTGAGTCTGAATGGAGTATCCTTCTCTTCTCCCAACAGAAAATTTATGGGTACCCTTCTTGGTGCTGATTCCAAAGTGCCAAAAGGAAGGCAGGATTTTCTTCCATGTCTGGGAGGTCTACTATCATCCCAGACACCATTATAGCGCATCTTCAAGTTCTTTCTCCTCTCTTGGTACTGACCCAGGGAACACCTGGTACACTGACGGACAAAGTGCTCTTACACTTGGCTATCAGAGTCCAAGTGACACTAACACCACCTCAATGTCCTGGTTATTCACACATTCTCAGTGTTACCTATGTGAGGCCAGTTTGCAGGTATGATCGTTTCTTCTGAGAAATGTTCCAAGAACATCTTGATAGATACAGATAAATCTGTATACAGCGAAGACTTCCACAAAAAAGTATCACCTCAAGTCAATGGAACAGAAACTGGACCAGACAGAAACATGTAGATACTATGTCATGGCTTGATGTCCATACTGAAGTTAGCCTTGTCCAGAGCAAGAATAATGCACACAGTAGTGTGACCATGTACCACTGCTAGCAGATGCAGGAGTAGTTCAGTACTTTCCCAGGAAGAGGTCCTTACATGGATCTGCATGCCAAAACTCTCGATTGTGAAAATGAGGTACATCAGTATGGAACTGATCAGTACTGATAGGAAATCAGCATGTGACAGCGTGCCGTAAGCCTTCTTTTCAAAGGTATAAGATCAGCAACAGCTGGGCACACAGGCCCAAGTACTTCCAACAGCACAAGGGAAACAGAAATCTGTAAAATCTGCCATCAGAAAGCCAAGCATAAAAGGCAGCTCTACACCATAGGCTCTTGTCTATACCCTCATGAGCAGGAACTGGTTTGTGGGACATTACACTCAGAGCAAAGTGTAAGCATTTTACAAGAGAAAACTGAAACTCTGTCAGAAACCAAAGGGAAGCACAAAACACACTCAGTAGTAAAACACTCAAAATCTCCTTCCCAACAAGGATACCATGGAAGGTGGTGAAGCTAGAAAGTTTCCAGACCAAAATGACACCCCAGCCTTTGAAAGGTGAGGATATAAGGGCTGATCTATGACAGAGAGCTTATGAAAATCCACTGCAAGTGCAAACCTCCTTAGTCCCTGCAAAACACCCCAAATCCACTGCTACCTGAGAGAAATCAAAACCAAGAGCCAGGGCCCAAAAAATGCCCTTTCCTCCATGCTCCTTGCAGAGCTCAAGAAAGGTAGCACTGTGACTAATTTGATTCATGAGAACATCCTGAAATGTAGACTGTTACAAGCCAAACAGGAGATTGCTCTTTGCAATCTAAACCTAGGAATATATCTCCAGAAATTATTAAAAAAAGCAAATCATATGTAAATCCAACACATAATAATTTAAAGAGAATTACATATGAGTGGTTAATAAGTAGATAAACAGTAGAGAAAATCTTCTATTTCCAGCTCAGATCTTCAAGCAGAACTACACATTATCAACTTCCCTCTCACTTTATTTTTAGAGGTTACAAAACAAATACACACAAGATCAAAGTAATGTGAAGAACCCAGTGGTTTTAAATAAATTGAGTAGGAAACTGAAAGCTAACTTGTAGGTTTTCATTCTTTGAAGACTGTTTTGTAGTAGATAAAAACCAACAGCTAAGGAAGACCCCATTACAGTATATTATACACAGTATATATACATTTATATATTATAAGCACTTGCTGAGAGGATGATGATGGCTTACCCTCCTTTACTTTAGCATGGAATCAGTAAGTTTGTATCAGTTGTAAGACTGTTACATAGTGTGTCTAAAAGTTTCATCTGGATTCAAAGGCCTGACAGGTTCTTTGTATGAATTTTATGCACTGTGAATCCATAAAAGAAATTGAAAGATTGGAAAGCAAAAGAATAAATTTCCAACAGCAACTTTATAAATAAAATCACTGTTAAGGTTTATTCACCTCTGCTACAATACCAAATCAAACCTGTGTTGTGTATATATGGCAATAGCCAACACCTGAAACTTTCAAAGAAAACAAAGCAAAAAAACCCCACTATTCCACTAGAGAAATGCCCATTTGTCTCACATTGTGCATAGAGAAAACATTTTGCTGATAGCTGTAATGCTACTCTCATACTCTGAAGTACAGGATCTAATTACCATCAACTTAATTAAAACTTATTTCTTTTTATTGATTACTTAACTTTATGGTGTAGCTTTAACCCTACTGCCTTAGGGAATGTTTTCAAAGATTCACATAAATGTTATGACTTTTTATATTAATTAAGCTATTCTGATTAATTTGCCCTTTTAAAATTATTCTCAGTGCTATATATCTGCGAAGTGACAAATGGCAGAGTTTAAACAATTACAGAAGTTCAAACATTTGTGGCTTTGCTCTTTTTATTCCCTTCTTTCCCCTCTGCCTACTCCTTCCACCCCTAGGGAAGTTCACAGATCACAAAAGATCTGTATAGAAGAGTTTCCAAGAAGTGCAAATTTTCCACAAGTATCCTAATGGTTAGTGAGTTGTTTTGTGCCCACTGTTCAATTTTCCTGAACAAACACAGGCAATACCTCAATCTAATAATCCTCAGTCCTCAAAGCCTCTAAATACAACATAACCTTATGTGAATGATAAACATCTATTAATTTTATTGGATTTAAACTCAGCCTGCATGAAAAACTAAAGTGTTTAGAGGAGATGTGCACAGGCTTTGCTTAACTTAAGCCTAAACAAAGAACTCAACACTAAAATACCCCATGAAATACATTATATTCATTAGCCATAACTAGGAGAGCAGTTGTGAGAAAAATTACAACAGTATCTCATTATCCTAACACTTTAGAAAAGTCACAACTCCAAATGGAGAAGAGGTCATCATAGGGGTTTTTTTGAATTCTACTTTTTTAATTTTTCTTTTTCATTTTTCTGGCTGTAAGCCGAATTAATCTGGAAAAAATGCTGGAAAATAATTTTTACTTTATCATGCTTTCAGCTAATAGGTGACTAATCAGCTGCTTTTGTAAGGTTTAATACTTATCATGGAATCTAAATCATCCAAATCCTAAGTTTTTTTATAAAAATAACCTAACCCCACCTTTATACCCTGTAGTACCAAAAACAGTATGAAAATTTTTTTTTTAACAGGTCATAGAGAAAAACTGAATAACTATGTCTAGAGTCTATGACTAGAGTCTTTCCTATCTGCAGCACTTCTTTCAAAATGTTTTTTTTAAATTTATTTTTAACCTCACATAAAATTTTCAATACAAATGCTTATATAGGAAAAGCAGGGGTGTGATAATATAAAGAATTCTGCTTACTTGAAATTGACTTAAGTGCTTACTGCACTTAAAACCCCTTTAAACTCCCAACAAATAGGACTGCACCCTCGCTAAAAACATAGCAAAACCCCCAACAAAATGCCACTAAACATAAGACTAAAAATCCTTAGAGGACTCTATAAATTCTGCTGACATCCCACTCACATAGGAATGACAGATGCTAAAGGGAAGCCAACTGATGATCAGTCAATACAAGCTTACCTGTTTAAGTGCTTTCTTTGTGTGCTGCTGGAAGGAAGATACTAGCTTGCTTTGCACCGGTGCATTAGTAAGGCTTGAATCACGATTGGAAGACATTTCCTCAGATGTCTGCTTTGGGCAAACTTTATAAAAAGAAATAAAAAATCAGAATACTGTTATGGGGGTTACCTTCCCTATTTCTCGGAGAGTCATAAGGATGGAAAAATAAACCAACACAAGCAAATGCCTCAAAACCAAAGATCTTGCTGTAGAAAATACAGCTGATCTTGAGGTCCACATCAGCTGAAAATCCAGACATATTCTAGGAAATGTACTGCTTCACTGATATTTGTACCACATCATACATCATACCCTTTCTATGCAGTTCAGGAGGCCTTGCCTTTCAGGTCCTGAAAGGTAACTGAAATAGTTTAGCAGATTTCACACAGAAACTAGATAAAAACTACCTTCCTCATCAACACATTTTAATAGATTATAAGATATCCAAATGAGCATTTATACAAGAGATACTGATGACACCTGGATCTAGAAAGATTTATACATATGTAACTTCATACCTATTTTACAAGTATCTCTTGGTAAAGCTAAGAACACACTTTAATGGGTAGACTGGAATATCCTGCAAGATGAATTCTGGTCTCTCAGGTAATACATGCTGCTACACTTGTCAGCCTTCTAAATAATACATGCTTTAATGAACAAATACTACAGTACTTGCATTAAACAGCCTCTTGAATAAATGTTGCGTGTGACACAGAAAAAAGTCACCTGGTTAAAAATAAATTAAAATATTATTTGTTTTGTTTTTTGGTGTTTTTTTTAAACAGCTTTATTAAACAGATATGAAAGCTGTGAGAGTAGCTGGAGGATCCTATTAGTCTTGGTCAGCAAACTCAACTGAAAGGGCTGTAGAAACCTTTCCACTCTGAATGCTTGCATTACTATTACTCTCACTAGTAACCTAAGACTGCCCAGCTAAACCAGCATTAGCAGAATCCAGAAATGAAGCAGCTTTTCTTCCACTCTCCTCTGCTGATTCAGTTCAAATCTGCCTTCCAGCAGTGTTCAAAGCTGGTTTGTGCGTTGACATATCTTCTTTATAATGTTTTGCAGCAGTAAATGGTTTTCCAAGATCTGCCATACTTTGCACACCACCAGAATAGTCTGAAGACACTCTAAGAAGCTGTACAGACATGTGCCAGAAATAACGTAGCCCAGTATTAATCTAATTTCTCTGCCCATCCTTCAGTGGGATCAGCAGACACCCAAAGTAGCTAAGTCCTGTGCCTTTAGCAATGTTTCTTAGAAGAAACATTGCAACATTCTTTGATTCATGTTTGTAAGGAAAAAAGACACAGACAATTTAGCTATCAATAAGTAATGGCCATCATAAGATGCATGTGATATTAAACCTTTTTTTTACACTGAAAGAAAAAGTAATCAATGCTTACCTCCGGAAGAGAGAATACACTCCATGGCACTGCTTTTATGCCAATAACTGCCATATTCGATTAAAATTTTTCATTACCAGGTAAGAGAAATGCTCTTTTATCACAAGATTTATACTGGTTTGTTTTGGTGGTTTTTTTTGTTTGTTTTTTTTTTTTTTTTTTTTTTTTTTTTTTTTTCCTTATACTTGCAGGATTTGTCAAAATACACAAAGAAGGTGCAACACAAAACAGGTTCTGAGTTTACAGAATCACCTGGTTTGGATCAATCTTTTCCACATGATGAGCAAAGCTTACTATCAAATAAGACAACGTAAAAGAGCTGCAAAGTGTCAGCAGAAAACAAACAATAGCTGGTTTATATAATCCAAATCATTGCAACAGCTAAGCTCCTGAAACAAAGAACACCTATATCAAATAAAAATAAGACATTTCAAATTGCCCAGATTTTGTCTTCTCCTTCAAATAAACTTTTTTTTTACTGTGTTCTGGCAAATTTTGAGAGTCAAAGAATTGAAGAAAAAAAACGCCAGAAACAGCATGTGCAGACAAACCCCAAAGTTAGCAAGAGAAGAGAACACATTCAAAAATCCTTAAAGAATGGAAACTGGTAAACTTAAGTGCCCCTCCTAAAACAGGATAGATACAACATGACCTGTCATGATAAACCTATTGCTGTTCCCCAGAATGACTGCAAATTCCTATTACCTTCCTGTTGAAAAGGGAAATTGAGATTTTCATTATGGTGCTCTAGGATATTATCTAGGAGTCTCCCCTATTTATTTTGGTGATAAAGTTCATTCTCAAGAGGTTTGACAACTATCTGATGATACTCCACACCACAACCATTAACGTCAAAGTCATGATACAGCAGGAATAAAAATAAGCATAGCTCTCTATTAATCTTTTACTTTCATTCATTTCTCTTTTAAGAATAAACCTAGAGTTGTGACAGAATTTATAAGAGGCCATACTTTTAATTCCTATAATTACTTCAATTTTGCATAAAATATTATTTGTGTACTGGTTTATTTTGCCTCTGTTCCTTGGAATCTTTTACAACAAAGCTAAACCAAGAAACAGGAACTGTTCTAGTGGGTGAAACAACTGGAACTGAAACCCACTGAAACAATAAACAGCTTTCCATCACTGCAATCTCTCCTACAGATACAGAAAGAATACCGCACTTCAGGCTGGTTCTTTAGTGCAACCCAAAACAAGTTTGTTCAGAGTTTTGAAAAAAGTCCCGACTTTTTCCTGTAGTTCATGATTAAAGAAATAGACACATGAGGTTGAAATATGGTGCTTAAAATATTTTAAATGACACTGTGATTAGAGAAACTCAACCTAATTTATTTAAAACAAATGATACTTCCTTTCTAAAACTTATTTTGTACATTATATTTTTCTTCATATACCTTGTAGCTTAAAATAGTAAGATAGTAGGAAACTATTTTAAATGTCTCTTTTTATGTTTTTATGTTTTAATTACATTTCCACTTTCATTTAAAAATGCCTGATAGAAAACATGGCTATGAACCTAACCATCTAGTAAGTAAGAGATGCCATTGCCTATTTTCCAAAAGCAGAACATACAAGTATTAAAAATCTAAATACATTGTGTTAAATTATACAATTGCTTAATAACTTATACAGTCTACTGACCTTATTAGCAAAAAATAATACTAAAATTGACATACAGGCTTTATTTATAGGATAATCAAGACATTGTTTAAAAACAATATCAATTGTCTTTTCTGTATGAAATTAAATACAAATATGAGACAATGAATAAATTTAATCTTTAAAACATGTTCTGCTACTTAGCAATTTAAATCAATCTGTGCCGAAGTGTGACTGCATTAAAATGTCTGTGACCACATAAAATTGTTTTTATTTATTTCTTAATTTCTATGGATAAAGTCCAACTGCTTTTCTCTGAATGGGTCAGACATAAAGAAAGGGGAAAATATGACAGAAAGATATATAAGTGAAGTCACCACTGATGATCCTAGTGAAAAAACCAATGCCTTCAGAACAAAACAGGCATTTCTCCTATGGAAACCAAAGATCACTGTAAAAGAAAAAGAAATTTGAAGCGTTCTTTGTACATATATACAACTTTGGAAAGCTGCAACCACTTTTTCCATAAGCGCTGAAGATCCATGAATATTATCAGATCCACATTCACTTGAAAATCTGTATCAGAAAAGAATGCTAAAAATAAACTGGGTGCTAGGGAGGGGGAAAAAAAAAAAAACCAACCCAGAGAGAATGTAACAGATAAAGGGAAAATATTTGGGTAGCAAATAAAGATGATTCACCATTATTGCTACAGTAGAAAAAGGAAATAAGAGTGAGTTTAAGCCTACAGGAGGCATTTCCATTTAGTGGAGAATAATTAGGCTCCATTCTTTAAATCGGCTTCCTCAAGGGCCAGGACCGAGTGAAGAAATAAAGAAAAAGCAACTATTAAGCCATAAACTGTTAGGTTATGAGCTGGAAGAGCAGCTGGGTTTCTGAAGATAAGACCTCCTTAGTGAGTGTTCAGAGACTGTTAACATGAATGATAGAATTAGAATTACTTAGCAAAAAGAGTATGTTAAAAATGTTTTTGGCAAACTCCATTTAAAAGAACTTCCTCTCTTCCATTTTTCCAAGACTAGTTTTGTTAATTATTGTGAAAGGCTATAATTTATAAAAATCAGCAATGCTGTCTTTGAATTTCAAATTTTACAGGCTACCTCTGTTATTTTTTATTACCTTGTACCTTCCCCACCCAATAAATGACACCTATGTAAAACATATTGGAACATATGTTTCTTCAAAGAAGCAATTTTTTGAGGAACACAACAAAAAATTATTCTGTCTCCTTGCCACTGAAAGTTATTAGGAATAACTGTAAACAGATTTATGTAACTAGATGGACAGAGAAATTCCTGCCCAGTAAAGGGCTTATTTTCCCAAAATCAACAGCACAATTAATTTTTATTTCTGTCAGATCATATTGATTTAAAATAAAACCAGCAAAATCAACAGCAGTCCACTTCCCTTTTTTTTAATGTAACCACAGCAGATGAGAAGGATTGTTTACTAATGGCCACATTACAAAACATAAATTAATATTGTTGCCATATGCTAAAGACTAGAGCCTACCTCAAGCACAAAATGTATGCACACACTCTGGAGACATGAAATTTCAGAGAGAACTCCCTCTGGAAAACATGCACACAATACCTCTCTCTAAAATATCCATAAAATTCAATATTTTCTTTGGGTGACACAGATCTATACTTGTATTGACATAAATAGTTGCACTTTGCCAGCACAGATGTATTGAGTAATTCACCTCCATCACTCTTTGATCTCCAGAGCCCAACTTGCCAAAACTGAACAATTCATAACTCTGCTGTTGCCATCAGCTCTTGAAAATGAAAACCAGTTTGGGAGTAAGTTAATTGTATGAGTTTGCCAAAGCAAGCAAAAACAGATGTATACATCAAGGGTACTACAGTGACTGCAACATTCTTTCTGAAAAGCAATACTAGCACCGTGAATTAATAAATAGTATTGAGTAGTATCTTTTGGAAAAAGACATCAAATACCACATCAGCTTCATAGCTTGCACTGAATCCCATTATATTACAGCATGTTTTTGAGCCCAAACATTTCACAAAACTTAGAAAACTGTGAATCCTTATTCCAAATCAAGTCAACATTTTCCACTAAAAATATACAGCCTGTCATCACTAAGCCACCAATTCCTTAGACCTCATTAACTAATGTACAGGAAAAAAAAACAGATGAGAAACAGCCTCAAGCTTCACAGTATCTTCTCTTATTCTTATGACTCCCTTCAAGTGGTAATGAAACAAAAGGAGTTAAGCTCAATTCCAGGTACCATATTTTTATTTTATAGTTGTAGGAAGATGAAAGAAAAATACACCAAAAAAATCTAAGCAAAGTGAAAAACTTCTCTTGCTGATGTGTCACCCAAAACACTATGTTTGAGTTGCTACTTCATTGCTGCTCTTCTGCTTTTAGAAGAATGTATCTCACATCCAGATGTTGCCACGTGTCACAAACATTTTCAGTAGAATTATCCAATATTATTCCCAAGAGACAAGATGCTAACAGTAAAATGTTTCATTGAATCGCCAGGAATTCCATTCCTGGAAAGGAACTGAATATCCAAATGGGGACTCAGGTTTCAAACAGTGGTGAATATACAATCTGCTACAGAATTATCCTAGGGTTTCCTAGTCTAAAAAGCACAAGGTGTTCAAAAGCACAGTAGCTACAAAGCAGAATTTCAGGATCCAGCATAACCATATCCTCTGCTGTCCATCATTTTGTCAGCTATCTCTAGGAAAATTAACTAAGGAACTAACCTAGGGAATTAACTCTGCCATTTCATGTTCATAGTTGAAGAACATACACTTCTAGCAAGTGCTGAAAACCGAAGTGTTTCAAGAGGAGACACGGGTTGCTGGTATTTGGGTACACACAAGAAGCCCTGTTGGGGCTGAGGTGGGGAGGGAAGTCATGCTGCAGCACGAATTGCTGTCTCCTCCACACGCACATCATTGCGCATTCCATTGGCTTGCACGAAGACCATTTTTAATCAACTGCGCTCCGCGGCTGATGGATTAGCCCTGGCTTCAGAAACCCTAGGGACAAATGCTTTTTGAGAACTGAACATCCTATTGATGGGCAAAAGGATATTATAGTCATCATTTTCCCAGGCAACAGTAATTGGGATTTTAATTCTTCTACTCACAGCATCTTTATATGCTACCCCTGTATTTGAGGAAAATGGAATTTTAAAGATATGGGACTGCTACAGAGCTTCTATTAGAAATCCCATTCCAAACAAAATCAACTGTAGCATAAAGAGTTTCTTTAACATATGCCTTTGGAGAAGGTGGGGAAAGAAAAATTCTCCACAGTATCTGCAAAATCCTGAGGTGTGACCATTCTACTTGTCTACTTAGCAATACTGATGTGGTGTAATAGCTTTTGCCAAGTCATGTGTTTATAATGGTTAGGAATTTTTATATTATTATGCTAGTAAAATTGTTCAGTAGCCTGCATTTATATTGTGAAAAGTGTGCCTGCTGAGGAATGATGTGACTCTTCCCTGTCTGAGTGTCAGCTGGTGCATTTTATTCTGAAAGACTGTGGTCTAAAAGCCCACAAATGGGATGAGGCTGTTGCTTACAGTTTCATCCTTTTGCTTCCAGCTACATTTAAAGAGGCATTTTTTAAACTCTTGCTAAACAATTTCTGATCTCTCTGTCAGAACTCTGGCTTATGGACTCTATCAGAGTGGAAAAGGGCAAATAAAAATCTAATCAATTGGGCAATTAAGAATTCAATGTGCAAGCAACACCCATCCTCATATGTATCACACATATTCTAAAACACAAGTCAGAGAATTTGAAGTGTTTTTTGCACTGAACTAAATGCTAATTTTATGCCACAGAATAATTTCCTGGAAAGAAAAAAAACCCCAGCTCTAGTGTGAAAAGCATAATTGGACTGTTAGACCAAATATTTTCTATAGAAATAACTATTCTCAAATATTTACAAACCGATCAAGTCACCACCTCACCTGTCATAAACTAAATGAGACCATCCCTATTAAACCCTCCAGAACAAAGGAAGTGTTTGTTCACTCAGGACTTTTTATGTGTCTTTTATAAATCCTTCCCTGTTTACCTTAATTCCTTCTTACAGCTATAATGAATGCAATACACTGGTAATCATTTAGCTAGTGCTATACCCAAAGGAAAATCTCTGCCTATACTCTTTAATCAGTACTATCAGAATTATAGTCTAAGAACTACATTGGACTAATTAGCAAAAGCATCTCATTCATGTTCAATTTATTTTCTGTTGTGATTCTTAAATGCTTTTCAGATATACTGATTTATTGAACACATATTTCTGCTGCATAAATATGACCTCCTTTTTTTGCTTGAAAGTCTAAAAAAATTCATGCTGTGCAACTGCAACAATTTACAAGGCAATCAAAAGACAATTATTATTTATTAACAAAAAATTTAAGCTAGAAAGATTTCAGAGTTTTCAAAAATTATTGACATAAAAAAAAATACTGAATCAAGAGTGGTCAAATCACATCCTCCAGAGCAAAATGCCTACTGTGGATGGTGATTCCTATGCCTTTGCAGATTAAATAATTTGTAATTTCAATCCACCAAAAACTGGAGGTATTTTTTGGGCATGGTCCTATTTTTAAGCCAAGCCTTCTATACTGTAAACGAAATCAGAATTCTAAGTGTATATAAATGATCTCTTTAACAACAAACTTGCAGTCTCAAGAAAAGCAATTATCAAACATTTTTGGCAAAATTATGTCCTGTACTAGCTGACTGATGTGCTATTTATTAAATACATGGTGCATGTAATTCTTAATTGATCACATCAAGCATTGGCCTTTCTGTATGCAATAGACACTCACTACTGAGTAAATCCCATTTACTTTTTTTTAATATATCCATTGATATACATGGCAGGACAAAAAGATTAACATGCCTTGTTCTCAAAATGTTAAATATATTGCAGTTTTCCAAGATTTGTTAAAGACAAAAAATGATAGAAAATTCTCAGCTTTAAAACCAATCTAGGTGTAATTTAATGCTCTATTTCGAAATTTTAAAATTTTTGCAGCCTCTCTTTTATGTCATCACAAGTGCTGTAATTATTTTTATTACTGTGAACTGTGAAAATTGTACATAGCCTGCTCCCAGTCAAAACCCAGCAATTTTTTACTTCTGGAATTATGACATCCTATTTACATTCTATAACATCCTATTTACATCCTAACACTCCTAAATAATTGCCCAATTTTTGGCCATCATTTTTATTTGTTTATAACAAGTAACATCAACTTTTGCTTTGTATTTGTAACTGTGTTTACACTGCTTTTTACCGCTCTATTCTTCCTGCAATTTCAGGAATTGTGCAGCAACAAATTTTCTGAGTATCAAAGAGGAATTGTTAAAGAACATGTAAGTTCACTTACATACGTAACATACACTGCATAAGCATCAAACCACTGCACATGCAGAGGCTGTTAACTTATAGACCATATCAAAAACTTATAGATCAGATATCAAAGAAAATGAAGAAGCAGAGATGTTTAATAACTGTGGACCTTTGTTTCCACAGAGCTTCACACAAAACTTCAGTCCTAGACAGACCCACAACATGCCTTGGATAGTTCTGTTACTCCTATCACTGAACACTTTATGATTTTTCAGTGCTGCTGGAGAACAATACAAAAACTGCAGTATCAGTCCTGTAAAGGTCCAGCCTGGGAGCTAAGTAAGTTGCTCAAGATAAAAAAGGAAGTCTTTAGCAGAACAACAACATGAGCTGAGCCTTTTCATGTCCTAGTTGTTAAACAGGACACTGTCTCACCATATACCAAGTATGCCAAAACAGCAGGCAGCAGTCCAGCAGTGGGACAGGTTGAGATGGGGCAGCAGAAGAGAACTGACGAAGGGAAGGTTCATTTCAAAAGTTCTGGACAGTCAGATTTTTTTTTTATAAAGCATCCACTTTATAATCACTACATGAGTGTAGTTATAATTCACTTCTTTTCCTTGCAAAGTAATTTTACATGACTGATGTTCTCCTTATGAATAACTACTAACTCTCAAAAATGAAAAAAAATTTCTAAGGTTGTCATTTTTAAGTTATTTCAACATTTCAGTTTGCCATTATTTTAGAGGGAAAAAAATGCACAGCATTTGATACTTCAAGATGTCATTATGTGACGATGGCAAACAGGAAAGGTTTGTATTTTTTTCTTTCTCTGCCTGAAATAAAAAAATACAAACCTTTGTCCACTGCCCAGAACTCTACTGAGGGACCAACCCCACATGTCCACACTGAAATCAGTGAGATATCTGACTCTGACAACTGCCAGTCTGAAGCCTGGTAAAGGCAAATTATACTTTAGCTCTGGGCCCTAAACAGAAAAACTGTAAGCCAAAAAATTACCTACTGAAAACACACCCAACATCACTATTCTTTGTCTTTTAAAACCCTAAGTCAAATAAAGGCACTTAGTGTCCCTGATTCCTTCATAAGCCCAACAAAGAGAGGGAGTCACTCAAAATAGTTCCACTGAGTACAAAAGATTATTTATACTGCTTAGAAATCACACCATTAAAATCTGAAGAAAACAATACTTTTTTTGTTCCCAAAATATGCCCTCTAATATTGAGATTAAATCACCTACCACCATTTTCTTCTCCATTATTATTGTTTGTCTCAGCCATTTCGGTGCCATCTAACTCAGATTCACATCCTAAATCCAATGTTCCATCAGTAGGGCATGTTGATTCTTCTTTCTACAGTTAAAAAATAAAAATAAAAATAAAATTAACAAGAAAAAAAATCAATCATGATCCTGCTGCATCTCCGAAAATAGATTACTGCAGTGTAGTCTCATGCTTACATTTCAGAAAAACCAAGAATAAAATAAAATATGCCTGTGAGTTACTCTAGAGAGAGCCATAAAAAACAGACTTTCATGAAAAGACTTGCAAACTAAAAGCAAAAAAGCTGTTTTGTGAGGTCATAACATGATCTTTTTAAAACTGAAAAAGTCACATAAAATACAAGATCTTCCACTTTTTCTTCTTTTTTTTTTTTTAACAGCAACAGACTTGTGTGGCTGTTAAAAATCCTGGTTTTCCAGTTGAGTGTCTACAACACTGCAGCAAAACACAAATCCTTTAATGTTTCTTTTCTGCCTTTGCCTGTTTCCTGAATTCAAATAGCTGAAGCAACCTGGAGCTCACAAGCATGGGAGTGATTGTGAATTCCTGGAATTGTGCCAAGAATATCTCTCGATTTAAAGAAAAACAACAGCATTTGTTCTAGTAAATTAGGAAAGACAGCTTCTGAAAACTATTAATTCAATTGCAAGTATTCAAGTATTTCAGGATTTTTAGTTAGCAGGAGCTGACAAATTTATTTACTTTTATATTTTTATACCCATACATCAAATACATCTGTCATAAATTACAAAAGATCCTTTGCCCCAGCCCAAAATTTTAGTTGACTACATTTACACTGCCAAGAAGATAATCTCACTTTCTTTTTTCTCATTTCTGCCTCACATTATTCCACTTCTATTGTGAAACCACTTTAAGTTTGATCATGTACAACAAGAAAAAATTTCCACCCACAGTAAACATCATGTTCATAACAAAACAAAAAAAAATTAAAACGGAATATAAATAAAGGCAAAATTCTATCACTATAATTATATTCCTTCTCAAAAGCAATGATGCAACCTTTGAATTAAAAGCTGATTTATATTAGACTTGCAAATAATTTTTCACTATTCAAAAATCAAATATCAATACAATTACTTAATTAGAAAGTCAGTGATCCTCTTGAGCTCACTAGTCCTAAAACAAAGGCCTTACTGTGAACAACTCCAGTAAAGCAGCATTTTAACTAAGCTACGTGTTTTTTATACCATGTGCCAAATTCAAGAACACGTATATGCTTTCTAGGATAAAACATTCAATGTTTACTTTCATTATAAATCCTTTTAAAAGACATCTGAAAGCAGTTAGAAGGACTATCAGGTCATTTCCTTGCCAAAGAATCTAATCTGTTTACCTTTATATCTATTGAGACATTCATAAAATGGATTAATAGCTGTATGTACAATCCATATACAAAATTTAAACTTACTTTGAGAGCATAGAGTCCTGATTTCCCAGGGATTTTGAAGAATGTTCCATCACCTACACGAGTGTTAGTATGAAGCATTGCATTCAGGCAAGCTAATGGAGAGGTTCCACTGAAAAATAAAATTGTGCAGTCTAAGATTGAGTGCCTCTTGTAAAACTATTCCCTCAGTCTATTTTTTTAAAAACTCATGCTTGCCTGTTTTTTTTTTTTTTTCCCCCCCCCCCCCCCTTTTTTTTAATTCTCTCAACCCTGAAAACATCTACATTACAATAACAGGCCAGTTTCAAACTTAATCATATGCATCTGTCCCCTAGGCTTGAGGCAAAAAGTCTGTGAATTATAATTACGTTTTTCTTCATACAGAAACCAGCTCCACATTCTGAAAGAACCAAAGTCCAAATATTTATGTGAAATTACTTCATAAATAACACCATGAAGCCTCATTTTTAAAATGTTACAGACAATGTGGCTGCTGCACATGAATGATCAAAACAGTACCAAGTTCAAGGGCAGCTGCATCCCATAGGATGAAAGGCAACAAAAGAATAATAAAGAGCCCAGAAAGAACACATTTAAAATTAAAAGTGATATATAGTAAAGCCTTCTTCTGGCTCAACATGGTCAGCATGCATTACTATATACAAATATAAGCACATTTATGCCTTTCATGAAACATTATCTTTTCTAATTAGAATTGTTTTAGAGATTATGAGACTGACATCCTCAAGGTAATAATTTTAATACCACTGTGGAATGCATGTTAAAGGACTATTTAAAAAGAAACACAACACATTTAGGAAAGAAAAAAAAAAAAAGAGCATTTGGACAGGGATATCTTTGTAGAATATACAAGTTTACATCAGAAAAAGAAAACAAATATTTCTACCCTAGCTAGATGTATACTATTCTGAAAAGTTGATCTAAAAAATGGTGGGGAAGGAGGCAGTCATAAATTATTTTAATGTATTTTAATTTAAAAATTGAAGTACAAGATCTATAGATGTACTATCACATCTTTATCCCCATTTGCTGGCTACTGTACACGGTGTACTCAGGAACTGAGTCTGAAACTGTGCTTCTTCCCTGGGGTCCCCAGTCTGCATGCACGCTTATCTTTAGCCACGTAAATATATTCCACTTGGTTAAGTGGAACAATGCCTGTGCATTAAATTAAGTGTGTTGCGAAGTATTTCAGGATTAATTATATACTCAACTATAAACCAGGAACAGGGCTTCAAAGTTCATCAGAAATTACTCTTCCTTATTCTGTGGTATTAAAACACAACATCCAATCCTAGTTGAAAATTGCAAGCCTGATTATTTTTTTAATATGTGAAACTGGATTGAAATTGTTGTATTTCATATGGTTATGCTTTCTGTTGATTTCCATGGCTCTGTTACAACAAAATTCATCCTTACTGTACATATATCATTATTTTAATGGCAAGATCAATAGTGTGGTAATTGCTCTTCCGGTAAAAATTAAACTATAAAGTGCCCTCAGGCCAGGAAGTCCTGTCTATTATAATTTATTTACTGCAGGTCACCTAATGTATCATATTACTACATCTAAAATAAAAAATTGCAGGTAAAAATGCTGCTTGTTGATAAACATATCAGATATGCAATAGGTATTTATTTTATGGATATTCTAAACATGATCACGCAATATGAAAATTCTGACAAGTTTTTGTGGTTTCTCTGGCTTCCCTGCAAGTAAAACTAGCGACACATTTGGTTTTGATAGAATGCTTTAACAAAATACAAACCAAGATACATTGGAAATAAAATGATCCTGCTAGCAGTGGGACAGAAGACATTAAGAGAGTTCATTGAGTTTAACGATTACTTAAACACTTTTGTAATATGTAGAATACTTCTCTTTACACATTTTCCTTACTGTATTGATGCTTGACAAGCAAAGAGACAAAGCATTTAATACAGCAGTTACGGCTGTGTAATTTCTTCCATATGTTAACATACATAACGTGAAGCAATTTCAACTCTCTCAGACTTGGATCTTTTTAGTGAAACATTATCACCGATTAAGGCTTTCTCTGCAAGACAGAAAGAACTTGCTGACTCTGCAGCAGAACAAAAACTTGGTATGTCAACAAGAAACAAAACTGTGTGTGCATGTATGCACAATTTGTATTCTCCTCCCATTCTGATGGATATATGCTGGACTCCACACTTATTTTTAGATATCATTAACCAATTGAAACGATACAGGATGAATGAACCCAAAATAGAGGATTTGGCAACATCTCGTGATCACTACTGTGCTCACAGCAGATATCTTAATCTTCAAAGTCTAGACAACTGGCAAGTGGACAACAGAAACTACTCTCTGACTTAGAAACAAACTTGCATCGGCTACTGAGCCAACAAGCACTTTAACTACTGCTATGCTTGTTTCTTACAGGTATCTGCAACTCCTAATGGCATGCAACCAAAGGGCCATATCCACGCTTCTTGAAAACTGGACTTGGGTATGTCCATAATGAGCACTAAACAACAGAACACACTTAAGCTGCAAATGAAAATAATCTGGGAACACTGAGGGGTGAGATTTATTTTGAGCTAACATATCAAACTGAAGTTCCATGGCGTCCTTTGTCAGGTCTGCTTTGACCCATCTCAACCAATGACTTGCTTATTCTTCTGACAGCACTGGCATCCTTAAAATACTGCAAAATCCCAAATGTTATACACAAATGATGCTGGAAATGCTTGCAACACATAGGACTGTGGTTCAAAAAGCCAGCAAAGATCCCATGATGCAGACTGATGTCTGAATCATAGATCACTTTCTGAGAGATCTGTACTACTTATTGCATGCTTTCTAAATTCTCCCACAGCCTGAGGACATGTTCCTTCTGCTCACGGCTCCTGGCATGTATTAATACAGCAGTCAAGGCCTGCCAATATGAGGCTGAGTATCTCTGAATATCAAAAATGGCACAGCTTGACCTAAGTTCTTAAAACACTCCAAATCAGTTCAACTTTGATTCAATTAAATGAAATTGGATACAATAATATTCCACTTTGTAACTTGATATCTGTGAACTTTTAGAGTCATAATATATTTTAAATTGATATGGTGCAAGTTTTATTGCCACAGTCTGCACACAAGAAATATGTTTACCATTTACAGTTTTCAAAAGCAGAACTTTCATACTATTTATCATCATTTGGGTGAGACTGCTTTAAACCACTGTGGTATTCTAGAAGCCATTTACATATAGATGTTATAATCTGTAGAACTATGTCTTTAAGATAGGTATTTTTCTGCTTGTGTGTTTATTTTATATACATATCCATCCATACACGTATACAAGCAGTATTACCCCACACACACTTTCAAAACCGTTTAGAAGATAAAAAGTTACTTACTTTCTGTAAAAGTGATGTTATGATGTTACAACAACCAGCAACATAGGAAAGAAAAGAAAACAAAACACTCATTAACCTTCCAATGTAAAGGCTGCCAATACAACTTGATCATTTAAAAGACATCAGGCATTTCAATGTTTGGTAAGTTCTCTTTCCCAAAATCACTACACGCTGGTAGTACTCAGTGCATCCCTTCCAAATTCCTGTGTATTATCAAATCAAACTTTGCACCCCTAACTCCCCCAGCCAAAAGTATCTCCAACATTTTGTGATTCTGGGCTCCCTCTACTGGTCACGGAGCCAGTGTTACCTAAATCGAAATCCCAGACTTTCCACACACCAATCTCTGCTAAAACATGTAGGGGAAGTACAGATTTCCGCTACTTCTTCCTCTGCCACCCTCCCCAAAACCCTATTAAAAATTTGTAAAAACACCAGTAAAAACGTGACTTATTTTTATATTGGAAACTTCTCAAACACATGGTTCTGTCAGAAAAACCCTGAAAACTTCTGTGGTTATGCATATAATTCTAATGGTCTTTGCTAGACTGCTTGCCAAGAGACAAAAATTATGATCTTGGCAAAAAAAAAAAGATGTCTTAAATATGGAAAATAAATTGACTAAAGCTGCCTTGTCCAGGCAATATAGTGTGACAGACAGTGAAAGTTGCCTGACACTTTGCAGACAAGGCACCTTGGGTCCTGCAGCAGGCAGCACTTCAGGCACTCAGCCCCACTGTACGTGATGTAACCCCTCCTCTGCCTGACATGTCCCCAAATCTAATGATGACTGCTATAAGAGGAGCACCTAGGTGTCATAAATTTGTACAGTATTTATTTGTTTGAATCATCTGCTCTTTTTATACATATCCATAAATAGTCACAAGGGAGCAACAATTTTTACTCAGTGCTAGAAACAAAGTAAAACCAAAACGCTTAAGAACTAATTTCTAGGCATGTTTTGAAGTCACACAGAATATAATATGTTCACAATGCATGTAAGTTACATCAATTTTAGAGTGACAACAGATAAAGAAAATAAAACTTATCAGGAAAGGCTGCAGAAAACCCACTTGTGTGGTACGGTAAACAGAAAAGTAAAAGAAGGCATAATTGTAATTTTCCAGAAATATATAAAAAACTGTTGAAGTCAATGGAGATGAATGTTTTTCATTCCCCACTGGGGGAAGAAAAAGAAAGTTCATGGATAGCCTAAAAGTGTGAATGCAGCTGCTGATGTTTTAATCAACACCAGAACAGAGCAGGGAAGTTTATAAAATGACCTTCATCAGAAGATCATACACACTTCAGCCCCAGCTGATACAGACTGGAACCTGTCCCAGTGTCTATGTTCAGTGATCTCTTGAGAAGAGATAAAGAATCTCTCATCAATCACTGTAACCTGTTATTCTTTATCTCTTCTATAAATCTACATTTTGGTTAAGGCTGAGGTTAATCATGTGCCCTAAGTATACTTGGTCCAACATATACAGCAGCTAGAAATGCTGGAAAATTGACTCAATGTCTAGACCTGCATTGCTTGCCCAAGTGTCCCACACAGCACTGCATGCCTGGTGTGATGAGGCCCTTTGGTTTCCTCTTAAAAGCTCTCCCACAATCTTCAAGGAACCATGTTCCCACAGTCCTGCTGTCAAGTGTCAGCAAAATGTCCCAACCTGCCTCAAAAGACTGTGGCTGTGACCTGGCTCAGGA